ATCCACAGAGGAGCAAGGGTGGTCAATTGACCCCCGCAACCCCTGAATCCGCCACATGAGGAAATAAAATTGACCCCTGCAAGGGCTGGATGGCTGGGCAATTCATGCCCGCCATCTGTTCGAGGAAATGCTTGAAAGGAGCACAGCACCTTGAGCGCAGCAAACAGCTTCGCGTGCAGCGCGCTTCTTTTATTTTTATCATCCTTTGCTCCAGGTTGAAACGACACCGTTTGTTTAAGTTTTTTTCTTTTAAAAACATATTAAAATAAACAGGGGCAGCAGCAACCTGCTACCCGATAAACCCCACAATCCCCAATACATTAGACAATTCAAATGAAATATACTATTCTGTTTCCAATTGTTTTTTTTTCTTTTCCCAATCTTTCTTTTTCTCTTTCTTTTCTTTTCAGTTTTTTCTTTTTGTATATATATTTTTTCTTTGTTCCTTTTGCTCTTTACGTTGTGTTTACTTTTTATTTTCCATTTTTCCTTCTCATGTATTTTTCTTTATTAGTTTTTTCAATACTAGAAACATAAATAAGCAAGGTTCAATACATTGATATACTAAAATGTGCGGGATTACATAACAGCTCTTACATCGAATAAGACAAGACAGCTCGATAAGCGAAGAGATTTCAATTGAATTTTGCGGAAAAATTACCTAGCATGTCTCCGTCATTTGTCAGATGCTTTTCATTACCATTTAAACGAGGATGCTCTTCAATTAAAACTAAATAGAAAACATAATAAAAAATCAATCAAAAATGGAGTTTCTTTCGATTCATGAAGCCTCCACAGATTTGAATTTATCTTTGCTCCTCCTTCAAACCAATAAACAACAGATGAAAATGTTGTGTTTCCACACTTTAATTTCCATATTGGTTCTACCTTTGTGCAAGTTGCAAATATGCACAATGACCAATTTTTTCAATGCTCACTGTGCTGCTTCGGTAGCAAATGTAGGATTGTGTCTGCTAGCGAGGAACCAAGAGTGTGCCACATTGACTGCTCAAGTCACATCCTTGAAGGATGAAGTTGCCGAATTGCATAGGCATCAAACATGCAAACCGACATATAGAAGCACTAAAAAAGAAAAATCGAGACTTTGTTGAACTGGTGGAGGTCTTACAGACTCGTGTATCAAGAAGAGACAGATAAGGATTTGAGATGAAGAGATGCAATTCTCTTTGATAATGAACATGAGTATTTTATATGGTTTTATCTATTAACTATGAATTAGAATATTATCGTTTCATTTCGATGGGTATATTTTCTATAAAAATTTTTTTTTTAAACCTTTTACACGTTGACCCCTGGAATTAAAATTTCTGGATCCGCCACTGTTGGTAAGCATGATGGTTCATCATGAAAGACAGTTCTATGATACAATGTTAAACACATGTTCAATAAAGATTGCTGAAGAAATTGAGCAAGGAGTCTAATATAGAAGATAATTTACCTTCTCTTCTCATCCCGCATGGGGTTTCATGATCCGAATCATTCATTTTATAAGTCACTTTCACAAATCATATATGAAAAGAAAAAAAAATTATGAAATCTTTTAGTCATCTAACTTATCAAATAACTAGATGAATCGAATGTTTCCAATAACCATTAGACCGCAAAAATGAAGATAGCTAGCATTCCTACTTTTTATTAGTCGCTTTGAGAAATATATTTCATGAAGTCCTCTTCGAGCTTGAAGGAGATTAAGTTCTCGTTTATCACTACGTTTGGTAATTATTTAGTTTTGTTTCACCCTTTTCTATGATATATAAAGAGTTTTATAGGACAAAAAAGATTTGAACTACAACTGGAAAACAAATATTCAGTAACATTTAAATAAATAAAAACTAGTTTGAGCAAAACAAGTCACCTTTACTCTCAGTTCATCGCTTGGCAGTTGGCATGAATGGTCGGCAACTTGGCATATCAATATTTTAGCTTTGTTTATAGGATCAAGGAAAATGAACCTTAATCAAAATGAAGGGATGGTTCATAAATATGTCCAAATCTCTTTAGGCTACATATTATACTCTTTGATTGATTTATTTATTTTTTCTTCGAGTAAGTTTAAACTCAAGCATGGTAGTTGAAAATGGAGAATTTATTAAAAAAAAAATACAAATACTAGAGCCTCTCAAATGAGTTTATTTGAGGGACATTCTTTTGGTGCCACTCCGTATTGTATTTCAATGATTTGAACCATTATCTTTTACGTATTATTTCAAATATTATCTCTGCAAACAATCACTATAATTCAAAACCATTTGACCATTCAATTAATGGTTTGTCATTTTAGTGTTGTATTTAAGCACCGTGTTCATCTCTTTTATTGATCACAACTAGATGTTTTAATGATTTTCAATTTATCTAATTTATACACTCAATTAATAGTTTGTCATTATAGTGTTGTATTTAACCACCGTATTCATCTATTTTGTTGGTCACAACTAGATGTCTTAATGTTTTTCAATTTGTCTAATTTATAGTAAGGATGATATATGAATACATACTTGAAAATAGACGGTTCGAATCGTTGAAATAAATTTTGTGATGGACACCAAAAAGTGTCCCTCAAATAAAACTATTTGAATGATCTCTCAATAAAGGGGGACAACAATTTGAAATTTAATAAATAGGCAAGTTACTCTTTGCTCTCAATTTGCATCTTTATTTTATTATTTTGAATCCGGATAACATTTTTTCCAATAGATTTTGGTTTTTGTTTTTGCTGCTTTCATATTTTAAGGTGTTTTTTAACGAACCCTAAAATTAATTGAGTACACCCTACTGTCAAACTATTTATTGAATTGCTAATTTACCCTAATATAAAATGACCAAAAAGGATATATTGAATTGTAAAACAAATGTAATTTAAATAAGTACACCCTACTCACCATATTCAACCTCTAAGCCATGCAAACATGAGAAACCTTTAAGCCACACAGAACGCGCGTCTCGCAGATGCTATAGTAGATTAATGAACCACATGGCAAAATAGTATAACAGAAAATTGGAAGAAATCAAATCTAAAACAAACAAAAAAAGTCGAAGAAGGAGAAGGTACAGGAAAAGAAATTCATATTCTCCATCTCAGTCTTTGTTTCCTTTGCCTTATTTCCGCATCCTCACTCAATCTTGGGTCTTTTGGCTTTGTGGAGTTTGCAATTCATATTCTGACACACAAATAAAAAAACAATTTAATTTAGCTCCCTCAATTATCTGTCTACTTGCCATGAAAAAATTGATAATGAACTATGAAAAGTCAACTTCCCTAACTCCTCACAAATGCTGATTATAAGATGATGCCAGGTCATCATCTACTGTTCAAATCAAACAGAAGAAAATCCAAATGAATGTTTTGGCTATCTTGCCAAGCTTGTCAGATTAGCAATCTGCAACAGTCACCCTTTTAATGTTTCTCATAACAGCTAAAGTTAAGCAGCTGCTTCAGTATTTTATTACCATGTGCAAACAACAACCAGGCAGAGTTTCATAAACCTTCTGAACAAAGGCCTCTCAGAATGAATAAACAATTGCCTTAACCACAAGAACAGATTTCATAGAGGGCATAGTTGTTATCAATGATCCCAACTGTTCTGCTTGTGGCCAGCAATTATATTACAGTTCATGCATAGGTTTTAACAAACAATAAATAAAGACTACTTAAATACTCTCCCTAGTCTCCACAGCATGAAGAAACCCCCAAGGTCCCATTCTTGGATATACGAATATGCGCTCGAACCAACAATCCGAGGTGCCTGACTGGATTCACCACTATAATTTCTTCTAGGATTCATTTCAACTTTTTAGTTCTAGTTTCAAGTCACTCGGGAGAATGTCACTGAAAGTGAACTGATTTTGAGATTCATAGTTTGTCTATCCTCTTTCTTTTTTTTTTCTTTTTCTTTTTTCTGAGTAAATTTTTTTCTCTCATTTTCCTAGAAATTTCTATATTAAGTCTTCCACTATAGGCCTTCCTAAAGTGTTTGTTTCTCAACTCATAACCATCAGACAGATATTTGTGTTAGTTTCTTCCTCACTAGATTGGACATATAGATTTCCAATGCTATAAGATCCATATAGATGTATAATGTACATGAGATAATGGAGAAATTTACTTGCAACATAAAACTAAGCATTAATTTGGACACGACTGCAACATACATACCATATGGTGCTTCATTTGTCGATTCTCTTTTCTGCATTGTATCATCATATTGAAAATTCATAGGGAGAAAAACTACTTCCAGTCAGAAAAATCATGGCAGCAGAAGTTCAGAAAGTAGTGGTGATCCAGGATGCATCCAAAGACATTGTTAGTTCGAGCGCAATCGAATGGGTCCTGCAAGGCTTATTGCTTAAGCCTGGGGATGAACTTACACTTCTTGCAGTTCTTCACCAGGTTAATAACCCTAGTACGTTATCTTTCATGGCAGCTGGCAGACTGTGTAAGAATTTAATTTTTGTTTTTCTAATAAAGGAAGAAAGAATTTGGAAAGTATGGTAAACATAAGAACCAATTAATATGATAGACATAATATCTTAGTTGTATGATTCTATCACACAGAACAGACTTTGCTAACTTATCATTTCCCCCAACACCCAATTTTCCACCTTTTCTGTCCTTCTCAGTGGGATACAGGACCAAGATGAACTCGAGGTCTATTTTCGGAACAAACCAGAAAGTCATGGAAGAAGAGCTCGAGAGGAAAGCGGAGGAGTATCGTAACAAAGTGGAGATAACAATGATTTCTCAGCAATGTGAAAGGGCAAAGGTCAGATATGAATTGCAGCCACTATTTGTTACAAAGTGGAGATTACCTGCTATTTGTTTCAGATAAATTGATCCATTTAATTCATCTAAGTACTGCTATACTATCATACCAGTGCATCTTGTGTTGGAAAACATACACTTTATTTTTTTCAGAATTTGGTAGAGTGCTCACAGCCTGCAGTGCAACAGAGTAGAGGAATCATCTGTCAATCATATGCTGACAGAGTACTTTTGTATTAAACTAATCTGTCAATCGAACGATGACAGGATCAGTTTTCTGATGAAATTTCTCAGGTTGAGTTCAACATGGAGGTGATTGCTGGTCCCTCTCCCAAGATGGTTGCTGTGGAGGCTGCCATAAGATTAGGGGCATCATGGGTGATTCTTGACAGGTCAGTCATTAAAATATTTGAAGAATTGGAAATTGTTCTGCTTGAATTGTGTTCAACGATACTCATCCAACCTTGTTTGAAGTGTACTCTTCACATTGCACAATAAATTAATACAGATAAGTAAAATTGTTCATAAGCCAAAATCTAACATAAATATAAAAATAAAAATAACTTATCCATGCTAATGAATTTGTGTTATCAAGCAGTCAATCATTGGTGATTTATTGAAACTCCAATAGTAGTTATGATTTCAAATTCAAGAGATCATAGTTATGGTTTCAAGTTCATGAAATCATATCCCATATACCAATTCATTAGAAATCTACACCAAACATAGATCACTGAGAATAATTTCTAAAAATACACGGTGGTTGCCAGTAGTTCAGTCTCAAGTCCTTTGGAAGATGATATTTTCATCCACCCTTGAGCTTGAATTAGTTGGAGGTGCTAAACACATTGACTTGAAGGTCAAAATAATATAGTATTGTAAAAAAAATAAAGTGTAGTTTTTGAACATTGAGAACATGAAGGCTTTCCAAATAATATATAATGCCCTCAATCTCTCCACCCACTGCCAATTGGTTTTGGGATGAATGCTCTAATTCTAACAGTGTTAAGGTTGTTTAGGCAGTCAAAGTGTTCAAATGATTGTCGTATGACAAATTTATGTTGCAACTCCATAGCTAAATACAAGTTGGGAGGTGAAAAACATATGGTTCTGTGTGAAATCATTTAACTTCACCAATTTTCTAATTTCTGAAGCCACTACTGATGAAGCTTTATACTTCCTTACAAACTTCCAAACCTTGTAAATTAAAATAATGTTTCTTATCAAACAAACTGCCATCTGAAAACAATGAGACACCACAATGTGAAAGCTCCTTTCTAATTTGTTCATGCAGGCAGATGAAGAAAGACAAGCAATTTTTCATGGAGAAGTTGTCATGTGGTATATCGAGGATGAAACGTAACAATTGTGTTGAGAAATTGAGAGGGCCAAAGCCATTTGGGAGAAGCAAACAAGTCACCGAAAGACGGAGCAAATCAGTCACCAAAAAACGCAGCAAAGACCGCCATGTAAAATATGATGAAATGATACCAGGAAGCCCAGACGAGGAACTTTCTCCTGAAAGTAAGAAGTTCTGTCACAATTTATCTCAGGGACTAGGACTCAGAGTTTCAAATTGGATAGATTAGACAATTTTATATAGTAAATTTATTGATCTGTAGCGTATAAATAACACATACAAAATCTACTTTTAATTTCTGTAAATGATCACCATGTCTATCAGATGTAATTGCAAAAAATCAGACTTGCAACAAGTCTGACTGCAAAAGCATAACAGAAAAAACGAAAAAAAATAGAAAGAGAGGCATTAAAAAAGAAGGGCATAGGACATCTAATTCTTTTGGCCTGATAAAAAACATATATTAAATTCCACTGTAGAAGCTTATATCCAAGCTCGGTGTAGTATGCAGCCCAGAACAAATAATGGAATGTTATTTTTCACTATATTATCTACATAATTCCACATTGCTTATGCTCAATACCAAATGCAAGAACTTGATTAAGAGTGCACATTGTTTTAGGATCTTCAAGTCTTCGAATGACCAGTTCTGGAAAAGAACAAGATGGTGATGGTAGTGGACACCCATGGCCTAACCATAGAAAATCTACCTCATCAAGCGAGCCCTTGTTGACAACTAGAACGTCAAGTGTGGGGAATACTGAAACCTTAACTTCTTGTCTTCCCTGCCATTATCAAGAGGAAGAAAGCACGACAAATACTGAAAGGGGAAAAGCAGGAGAGCATTCCCCATTTCCAATTGCTGAGAGTCAAGCAAGGGTTCAAAAGGAAACAGATAATGCTGGGAGCCCAGATGAATATAAACAGCATAGCTACAAGGATGATTGGATAGGAGAATGTCAAACAGATGAAGAATTTAAAAACTCAATTTGCACAGTTTGCAAGAACAAACGGCCAACAATTGGATGGAAGAGAGATTTTACTTATGCAGAGCTCCTAGCTGCTACAGACGGGTTTTCCGTAAGGAACTTCTTGTCTGAAGGTGGATTTGGTTCCGTCTACAAAGGAGATCTGAATGGACTGAAGATTGCTGTTAAGCAACATAAAAATGCAAGCTGCCAAGGAGAGAAGGAATTTGAGTCTGAAGTACACGTACTCAGCAAGGCAAGACATGAGAATTTGGTGATGCTGTTAGGGTCATGTTCGGAAGGAAACCAGAGGCTCCTTGTTTACGAATACGTTTGCTATGGTTCATTGGATAAACATCTATCAAGTAAGAAGGAAACAAGCTTAGAAGAAACAAAAAAGTTTTGAATTCTTCAAAATTTTAAAAACATCGAGTGTTTTCCTTAATATTGCAGAATAGAGAAGTCTAACCCTGGAGCAACTTTCTCTAAATTTATGCAGAAGACAGCAGACCTCTTAGTTGGGATAAGAAGATAAAAATTGCTACTGGAGCTGCAAGAGGCTTACAATACCTGCATGCAAACAACATCATCCACAGAGACGTGAGGCCAAACAACATCCTCGTGACACATGATTATGAATCCCTGGTAACTGAACCGAATATTCAATATCAGCTTTACAATCCAATATGCCTATTGATATCATGAAGTAGTTACATGGGTCAATCCAGGAAAATAGATCTATAACAGCTTCTGTGCTCTGTGACTCAAATTCAATTCTTACCGTAATTACTGGATGGATACCCCAGCCAACTAATATGGCATTTTAACTCAGAATCCCAATTGGATTCATTTAATCATCCATAATATTTCCAGAATATGTTTATTTGGTAATTTGGTAATCCCTCCTCTAAGTGCATTGGATTTTCAGCAAAAGCATTTGAGCCAGAGTGCACATAGTATTTATTCGATGCCCTTAAATTAATCCCCATGGTGTAAACAAAATAACCACATCCATAGTCCATCTAACATTTTCTATGCATTAGTTAGGAGATTTTGGTCTTGCAAGAAGTCAACATGAAGACTCAGATCGGACATCAGATACAACAAGAGTTGTCGGAACTCTGGGATATTTGGCACCAGAATATGCAGAAAATGGGAAAGTGTCAAGAAAGACAGATGTTTATGCTTTTGGGGTCATTCTATTACAGCTTATCACAGGAATGAGGCCTACTGACAAGAAGCTTGGAGGAAAAAGTCTAGTGGGATGGGTAAGATCTTCTATACCATAAATTGTTTTGAAGTATATATACTCTTACATAAACATATAATGGTACTCAATCTAACAAAGAAGAAATACCAAGATATTAATTTACGCTGTTACCCACCTTTCTCACACACTGAAACATGCATGAGCTGATGAGAAGATGGGGAGTTCATATTATTGTGGTTGTTGAGGTTCATCTTCTCTTTCCTATTCTTGTATCCTTTAATGAACTAGAAAAATCACTCAACACAAAAAGACACATTTAGAAAACAAACAAGCACCTGCCTGTAGTACCACCGAAGCCCAACTATACACCAACTGCTACTGAAAAATAAAAAAGGGGTCTAGCGAACATTGCAACACCGAAAACAAGCTACAGATATACTCTGGCTGTTACAATTTGCATTAACTTCTATTAATTAGAGAATCCCTCTTCTTCACCAGGAGAACACAGACTCTTGATTTCAACCACCAAATGAAAATCTTCTCTTCAGTTTTCACACTCCATCTTGTAATCTTTCTAGTGCTTTCTTTATATAAAAAAAATTCTTAAAAGCAGGTTATGTTTGATAGCTTTGGGAGGAAAACAGGATAAAAAATAAAGAAGGAAATGCAAAATTTTGCAAATGAGATCTGTGTTACTTCAATTCCTGATAGCCTACCCACCACTGCTCATGACATGTCATATAAGGAAACACTAAATACTAATAATAAAAGAAAAAAGAAGAAGAAAGGAGCAGCCTTCTATTATTTGACTTCACATTTCCTTATTATTTTGAATTAACAGTTCTGTAACTTTCTTGTCAGGCAAGACCACTATTAAAAGAAAGGAACTACCCAGATTTAATCGACCCCAGGAATGTGGATTGCCACGATGTTCACCAACTCTATTGGATGGTTCGGGTAGCCGAAAAATGCCTCAGCAGGGATCCCCATAAGAGATTAGCTATGGATGCTGTATGTCCACCTGACTAAGTAGACTCTGGTTAATATCTGTGTATGTCTGCATCATCAAGTCTCTTAACACAATAAAAACTAGGACACAAGTTCAATGCATATAGATAAACAGTGGAACAAGCATAAAGATGAACATTAAATATTAGAATACCAGCTGCTATATGACACTTATAATCAGCATCTCCTATTTTGCTAACAATAAATATGGTGCACATAAATAATAATAAAAAAGCACTATCCCATCAATTGGTATTCAGAATCTGGGCATTTCTCTTTGCTCATCATTCACAAGGAACAATTAAATTAAACTAAATCAACACATTATACCATAAAGTTTGATTGGAACCTACCTGGGGCAAATGAAATCTGATGGGTTTGTTTTGTTTTCTTCTTCTGATACAAATGCAGGTAGTTAATGCTTTGAATTACTTGAATGATGCAAACCCAGTTTGTAGCATTGGAGACTTCTCACCAGCACAATCTGAATCAGCTGGAAGCATGCCAGGCTCTTCTGAATCACATGGTGATCATGGTGATTATATCAATATAGAAGTTACTCCCACATTAGAGTACATGCATCATCAGTCTACTTCTTCAGAGACGTCAAGCTTTTCCACAGTTTCTGAGCAATCGCCATTGGGTAGTTCTGCAAGTACTGAATAGAAGAAAGAATATCCAGAATAATGGTGAGTGTTTTTCTTTTTCCTTTGTGTGTTGACAAAGAGTGGTGGAGGGCTCTAGGGATGATATGGGCATTTAACAAAAAGGGTAATATGCTAAATTGCCCCTGAACTTGTACATAACTCTCAATTTACCCCTTGACCTTTTTTTTTTAGCGAATTAAGGCCATCTCCAGCAATGGGCTATATCCCAAATATAGCTCTAAAATAATGCAAAATCCATCTCCAGCCATGGGCTAAATAAAATTTTGGCCAAATTTGGAGGGCCACATTTGGCCCTTTAGCCCTCCAACCAGGCCACATATAGCCCAACTTTAGTCTAGGCCAAATTTTTGTGGGCCCATGCATTTGCTTTTTAAAAGCCAAAAGTAAAGTAAGTTGATGTCATAGGTGGATATATATAATAAAATATGAAGGATCCTAAAATATAGCCCTGCATGGCTGGAGATGGAAAAATTTAGCCCTGAACTATTCTTTAAAAAATTAATATTTTGAAGGGCTAAATTTTTAGCCCTGGACTACATTTAGCCCTATGACTGGAGATGGCCTAAGGGCTTGAATGAAATTTTATTATCAATGTTCCCCCCACCGTCAAAATTCGAACATTTCATCCATTAATCCGTCCATTTGACTCACGTTGACTCTCTTTTGAGGGTTATTTTGGTCATTTAACGCCAAATAGAAGAAAAAGAGGAAAATTGAACAAAAAAAGAAAAAAAAGAAAAAAGATCCTGAGAACCTAGCCCCCCACCCCTCGATTTCTTTCTCCCCTCGATTCACCCTTACCGCTACCATCCCTCCCCCACAAACCAAGAAATCCCAGCCAGCAACCACAAACCCAGAAACTACTTTTGGGTTTTCACCCCTCCCCTACAAACCCAAAAATCCCACCCAACAACCACAAACCCAGAAACCCATATCTGGCTTTTCACCCCTCCCCCACAAACCCAGAGTATTTCTTCAACTGAAGAGTATACATATGCTCTTCATCCCATTGATACATTATACATACATGTATGGATGAGTGAGAGGGTCGATGGTTCTGTTTATTTATGACATCCATATATGCATAAGCCCTTTTCTTTCGCCCCCGACTTTCAAACCCAAATCACTATTTTTCTTTGCAGCTCATCACTCTCATCAATGTCTCTTTGAAAATTGAAGATCTTTACTTCAGATTCATGGTGGCAAACCAACTGCAGGCTCCAAATCGTACCTCTGGTACGTCAATACCATCAAACCCATATTCATGCGGTGTCTCTTTGAAAATTGAAGATCTTTACTTCAGATTCCCTGCGGCAAACCAACCGCAGGCTCCAGATCTTACCTTCTTCTTCTTTTTTGCGAAGAAGCCAAGAAGAAAACTTAGACATATACATTACATACATACATGTTCAGTGCAGTTACTAGATAGATAGATGGGCAGGGCAGGAAGAGGGTGGAGGTGAAAATGCTAGAGTGACAGACGGGTACACAGTATGAGTGAATGGGCTCGCTGTTTGATTTTGGTGATAAACAACTGGTTGCTTGTGGGTCCCGGAAGGGTTAATGGCTGTGATTTTTAGAGGGAGGGAGACTTAAGGCGCTAAATGACCAAAATAACCCTAAAAAAAGAGTCAACGTGAGTCAAATGACGGATTAATGGATGAAATATTCGAATTTTAACGGTGGGGGGAATATTGATAATAAAATTTATAATAAAAAATTAGTTAAATATCCATTCCTAGACATAATTCTATAAGAAATCCTATACCATTCAATGTATATAAAGACACCCAACAGTTGTCGATTTATTAAATTCAACAGCTATGTTGGATTACTGTTTTGCCCTTTTACTTTGTCTATTAATCAACTCAATCTTCATCAACAAGCATCTCAAACTTTCTTCTTCTTCTTCAACAATGGCGAGGTTCATCGAGCTCTGCTTCTGTCTTTTCTCCTAGTCCAATTCTCCATTGTATCTTCGTCGTCTCCACCACAACCCTTGCTGACTCCATTGCCGCAACCCGCCGCCGATTCACCTTCGCCCAAAACTCCATCGACGATTTCCCTTCCTCCATCTTCGTTGGGCGCTCCAGTGAACCCACCATCCTTCTTCACCTCTGACGCCACCGCAATCATCTCCGTCTCAATCTCCGTCGGCCAACGACACGCCCACAGTTCCTTCTCCAATGCTGTCGAATCTGAGCGATGTCAACCACAACAACCTTAACGCGGACAGAGATGGAGCTAAGAACTCCTCTGGAGGAATGAGCCCGGCATAGAAGGCTTGTACTTAGAATGATCGTTGGATAACATTCATCGATCTCAGTACAGATATGCCGCCATGAGAGAGATTCTCTGAAGAACTACTCATAGTCTCTCATACGCAAAAGCTCTTAGAGGTTACTGTGAAATTTTTAATTTATCGTATTTTTGTTGTTAATTTCTGTGTTTGCTTAGCGTATGATTGAATTGAGGTTTTTACGATAGTGATATGGTGATTCAATTTGATTCTTCATTCTTTGGCGCGTCGACGGTGCTAAAGTTGGTGGTAGTTAGAATTTTGGGCTGAGTCTATTTGTGTATGATATCTAATGTTTGGTTATTGAGAAAATTGAACAAAAGAAAAGAAATTTGATAATTACTGTTCTTGGATTTAGATTCTCAGTGATCTAGGTTCTTTGTGATTTTAATGCGTAAAACACTATTTAGTGTTGACTTGGTTTCGATGTTTGGTATTGTTTGGATTCTTTAGCGTGCCTATTATGCAAATGAAATGATGTAGTTGTTAACTTCCAATAAGTGGTATGAACAGTTGTTATATTGTTCATACCCTACAACTGAGTTGATTTCTATGACATAGTATTAACAGTGTACATAATATTAACAAATTTTCAATAACAAAGAATGCTCTATATTTTGCTCTATAGATAGCTGTGCACTTGAAGTTTATGATATGCAGAATGTGATTTTACTAGGAAGATAGTTCTACAACATAGTATTAATAGTCTAATTCTATGACATAGTATTAACAACCTTTTTTTTTTCCTTGTAGATGTATTTCAATTTGCCTTTGCGATTGTATCGTTGAAACTATGGACAATTGGAGGCGGTTTCTACGAAGGATATCAGATGTCTTCTGGGCTTTTTTGAATTTTTTGTATGAAATGGTATTAACAATGTACTTTTATGAAATGGTTTGTAGAGGTTCAGTGGAGAAGGAAGGGTCATGGGGACAACTCCTTGGTTTTTGTGATTGTTTTTTAGAGGACTGCCAGTGGGGTTAGCTTTTGGTTTGGATCTTGTTAACTTAGAAGATTATGCAAATGGACGAAAACTGGTAAGCTCATGAGTGTCTGGTTATGGGGTATTTATGACCATGGAAATGGAGGACTAGATGGAGAGTTGGCTTTTAGAAGGTGTTGAATTTCATTCAGCGTTTGCAACAACCTTTTTGGCATAGACGGCTTTTTTTTTGGGTCTGAACCATGAGGTGGTCCTGGATGGGCCCCAACTATGGATGGCACCTTTAAGCCTTAACCACAACCCAGACTAATCCCCACTCACACCGGGTCGGCCCGTAAGGGGTAAAGTGTTGGCCAAAGTGGTGACTCCGTACGAGAGCAGGGATCGAACCCCTGACCTCTCTTAAGGAATGAGAGTGCCGAACCGCTCACACCAACCACCTTAGTTAATTTCAGCTCTTATTTTGGGTATACTACTAAAGCTCCCTTTTTATAATCAAGTTATATTGCAAAAGGCTTTATGAAAATAGCCTAATAATACCAAAAATAGTGCTGCTAAACGAACCTTAAAATTAACTGAGTACACCCTATGATCGAAGTACACCTCTAATATTTAAATCAAAATGTAAAATTAACTAAGTATACCTTATTTAACTACCAACAATAGTCATAGTATACCCTAATACACTCTATCACACACAACACCAAATTCATTCGAGAGCTGGTCGCCGAACACTATCAGACCACCACACCCACCTTGCCATCGATGGATTAAAGTGGAAGCCCCAAGTATTTCAAACGCCAACTCCCCAATCCAATACCCAACGAATTGGTTAAATCAATCACTTTACTTTCTTGAGTTTTCATCCCAGCAATTGAAGACTAGGCCTTGTTAATATCCAGCCCTGATTACAAATAGATTGTTTCATATTTTTCTTCTTTATTATTTTCCTATTTTTCTTGATGGCATATCTAGTTAAAAAGTATTTGAAATTCCACATTCATCACGCTTTTGCCCACTTCTCTGAATATAAGTACTATAATAGCTATTGCTCTCCATATTTCCTTTGTAAAAGATGTCGTACCCATCAACTTCCTGGAAATAATTTTATATTGTTCAAAATGACAGGTTATATATGGGATAACAAATATTTAAACTCAAAACAGGCTGCTATTATGTTTAGGTTTTTGGAAGTATGGTTTTTCACTTACGTTTGATTAGGGTTGAATATGGTGAGTAAGGTGTACTTATTAAAATTACATTTGTTTCACAATTCAATATATCCTTTTTGGTCATTTTATATTAGGGTAAATTAGTAATTCTGTAAGATCCCACATCGACCAACGAAGAGGGGTTGATGTGCCTTATATGTACATACCCGCATCCATCTAGCACGATGCCTTTTGGGAGCTCACTGGCTTCGGAGTCATAGTAACTCCGAAGTTAAGCGAGTTGGGGGCCAGAGCAATCTCAGGATAGGTGACTCACTGGGAAGTTGCTCGTGAGCTCTCATAAACAAAACTGTGAGGGCAGAGAGGGGGGCCCAAAGCGGACAATATCGTTCTACGGCGGAGCCAATCCCGGGATATGACAATTTGGTATCAGAGCCATTCTGCCGTGTGGTGCGGGTGTGCTGACGAGGACGTCGGCCCCCTAAGGGGGGTGGATTGTAAGATCCCACATCGACCAACGGAGAGGGGTTGATGTGCCTTATATGTACATTAGGCCTCATCATTTGGCCCGCGGGCTCATGGGCCTACGGGGGCCCGCCCGGCCCATCGAAAAAAAGCCCGGCCCGGCCCGTTATGGGCTTTGAGAGGGCCCGGCCCGCTTGGGCTTGGGCTGGACTTGGGTGTTTGAACCGCGGGCTCATGGGCTTACGGGGGCCCGCCCGGCCCATTGAAAAAAAGCCCGGCCCGGCCCGTTATGGGCTTTGAGAGGGCCCGGCCCGCTTGGGCTTGGGCTGGACTTGGGTGTTTGAAGCCCGGCCCAGCCCATAGGCCCGCCCCAATTAAGCCCATGAAAGCCCGGCCCGGCCCATTAGGCCCGCATACATATTTATGTATAAATAAGGGTTTAGGATTAGGATTACATCACTTGAATGACAAAATCCCACTCTTTCATTTTTTTGTGTGTGTGTTATTTGTTTGAAAAATTGTGTTTCTATTGAATTCTACTCATTCCTAGTTTATAATTGGATGATTAGCACATTAATTTGTGTCATTTATTAATACAACAATTATATATATATATATATAATAAGACGAATAACATATCATATCACCAAACATAATCATACCACCAAATATAATCATACTTTTCTTTAACACATCACCAAACATTTGCATATTTATTCATACCATCCTTATAAAAATAAATAAATTTTTTTACACTTATTATTTTTTAGGCCCATTTCGGCCTGCCCCTGCCCGATGGGCTTTTTCAAGCCCGGCACATGAGATGGGCTTGGGCTTTGAATTTTCTAAAAAAGCCCAACCCGGCTCGGCCCGATATTTTCTCTCTCCTCTTTAAAGCCCGGCCCAGCCTGGCCCAAGCCCATTAAATTTGGGCCGAGCTAGCCCGGCCCGGCCCATTGACGAGCCCTAATGTACATACACACATCCATCTAGCACGAGGGAACTCACTGGCTTCAGAGTCATGGGAACTCCAAAGTTAAGCGAGTTGGGGGGCAGAGCAATCCTAGGATGAGTGACCCACTGGAAAGTTGCTCGTGAGCTCCCAAAAACAAAACCATGAGGGCAGAGAGGGGGGCCCAAAGCGGACAATATCGTGCTACGGCGGAGCCGATCCCGAGATGTGACAAATTCAATAAATAGTTTGTTAGTAAGGTGTACTCAGTTAATTTTAGGGTTCGTTTAGCAACACTCTTTTTGGTATTATTCTAGCCTTGGCAGGGATACAAATGATTTATAATGAACATGTTACATATATCTTCCAATGACAATGTTGAAGCAATTTTTTTATTAGAGTATTACGAAGCCCACTCTACAAAAGATAAATGTGATACGAATATCATTTGTGTCATTAAATAATTCAAGTTTGTTGTAATCAGGGAAAGTAATTTATTCAGGGAGCATCCAACAATTTTCCAAATATAGGACATATGCGCACTGTACTCTTTCCTAGTGACTCGGTTTTTTTCTCAAAGATTTTTTCGTAGCAAGGTTTTAACGAGGGGCAACATTGAGTGCTTTCAACACCATATTAATGGTCCAAAAAAATGTTGTACTCTTTTTCCCTATGCTTAAGTTTTATTTCATTGGGCTTTCCAAGCAAGGTGTTTGATGGGCAACCACATCATTATACGGTGGATATCCAACAGGGAATGTTTTAAGTATATCAGGCCCGGCTCACATGGTGTGCGAGCTGGGCGATGGCATAAGGCCCCCAAAAAAAGGGGGCCTCTTAGGCCAATAAGTACACCAGCCAAAAAAAGAATTTTATGTGCTAAACTAATGCTTTTGGGGCTTTGTTTTGGACCTTTTTTTTGCCCTGTTTCTTTATCTTTCATATAATGAGCCTTTTTTACTTAAACTAACCTACTTACCACTTAAGTTTGAAACTTTTTATTATAATTTTGTTCAAAATGAGGTAAGTGCTAAACAAAAAATGCCTCATTTTTCATTTTTACTCAGGGCCTCCAAAATCAATGGACCGTCCCAGAAGTATATAGAAGGTGGATGACCACCATAAACCTCCACTTGTTAATGTTTTGTTCCTATGCCCTTACTATTGTAATTAGTAGTTTGTAACCTACAATTTGTGGATTAAATTTCTACGGTTGTAAGCCTATAATTAGGTGTTTATCAAAGATAAAAGAGAGAAACTTTGAGAACAATTTATATTGTCTTTGTCTACATCTTACTTCTCTCTACAATTCTCTATTGGTTTTCTTGTACTTTCATGAATTTATCACTTAAGGACTTGTAATTTTAATTTTGGCAATCAAAGTCGTGTATTTTTCTTAAGATTTCAATAAAGGGCAATCCGTTGCATCGAGAAAAGTTGGCGTTCTTGTTACATAATAAACACGTGGAGTGGCAAAATCTCCTTTGAAGGTTAGTAGGTCCAACTTCCTTCTATTCGCACCAAGAATTCTACAGCCAATTCGCTAACAATAGGAAGAAATAGTACACAGTCTGATATCGATGCAGATTTGAAATGCTAATGGCCCAAATTCTCTTTCTTGGACTGAAAAAAGTCTTTCGCATTGGGCTTTCCACCTCAACAAAAAAAATTCGTGTATTCACCATGTGGCCCCATAACACGATGTAGAACTCTCCTCCGACCGTATTAGGCCTATTCATCGTTATTTGATTTCTCCTCAATTCCGTTCCGTGTTTTAGGCTTATCACACCACAACGTAAAAGATGTTGCGTGTAATATATATATACATCTAGAAAAGCACCATGTTGAGTACTAGAAACAGTGGGAAAGCAATATACACTTTTTTCTTTGGGTTAAAATAACAAAACAAACCAACATACAGTAAAATTGAATAAAGAAAACTGATAAATAGAGAGGAAGGGATGAGACAATATAAACCAATTTTCATGTAAACAAAACAAAACATAAAACAAACTAACCGGATTCCATTGTATCAGAACGTTCCAAATGCATAGTTATTCTACAATCATAGCAAAAGCCTGCATGCAATTGTATACCTCAATATGGTTCTGTTTAGGCATACATGCATTGCATCGTTTGAAATGAAACCATGTGAAAACCACAAACAAAAAACAACCATGACTCATGCAAAAACAGACCACAAGTCCCAATTGCTTGCAACTGACCTTCCTTAGACCAGGACTCGCTTCCCCACATAGTTAACAAATGATCAGCACGAATTAGGTGACAAAAGTTTCAGGTTCATACAATTGACAGACCGGTTTCTTAAGGAAGATCAGAAGACATTTGACACACAGCAGGCATGTTGTTCCACAGACAAGAACCAAGACCCCATACTTGATTTGATATAGAAGTTCCTGAAGCCATGTGCCTGTAGTCAGTCGCCAAATCATCACCAAGAATTGATGCAATACTATCTGTCATGCCTTGGTCTTTAAACCCAGTACTGTGCTCAAGCCAATCTGAGGCAAGTAAAGCATCGGGACGAGTGTAATCCAACTGAGGTGTAGTTTCTTTTTCTTTATCCGGGGTCCAAGCTTGGTCAACCGGTTCTGGTTTCACATTGCACCCTGGCAGAACAATCAAAAGCAATATACGTCATAACAAGAGGCAGCACAGCACTTATCCTGCAAATTAGAAATATGAGGTACAATCTTCTATATATTCACAGAAAACAAATCGATCAGAAATGCTATCATATTACCAAAGGAGAAATGGAAGTGTTTGTAATTTGAAATGTTCCAAAAAAAATTTAAATAAAAAATAAACCCATGAAAACTACTTTAAAAGGACTATAAATTACGAACAATAGGGCAATACCGCTTCCAACTGCTAATACAAAAAATGTATCTGCATTAAAAATATTGAGAATAATTCATGAATCACTTTACAACGTTATTATCAAACTCATTCGTCTCCAGGTCTCACAGATTAAGATACTCACCAGTAAAGGTCTCAGCAGGCGGTGGTTCATCCAATGAACTTCCACTCGCACTAATAGGAGTACACTCACTGAACAGCGAAGTAGCAGAATGACCCAATGGAGAAATCGGGTCACGATAGTCTTCCCATTCTGTCTCGCAAATGTTCAAAGTGGAACTGTCAGCAATATCACCAGGAGTAACACTAGATGAATTTGAACTCTTGTCAGAAGAAAGATTCTTTGCACTACTGAGAGTCTTTGCCTCATGGAGCAAAGCATCTAGCAGGCCACTATTACGTGGTGAAGCGCAATCTGACTCAAATGCACCAACAGGTGGGGGAGATTGGATAAAAGCATCAATTGATTCCAGTAAGGGCGGCGGAGGAGAAGTGCTCCAGCTGCCTAAATCAGTTTCTGGATATTGGAGTGAAGGGAGCTCCAGCTTCACAGCCCCTGAGGTGGGCTTAGAAGCAGAAGAATTGCCATTTGAAAGGGAATGACTACCCTGAATTACACCAAACGACAGTGGACTCTTAGTGGTAGGATCAGGATCATGAGGAAATGACAATCCAAACGACTGACCAACTTCATCACAAGTATCATCTTGAAAATGGTCAAACTGGGGGAAACCATTTTTGAAACTACCATCAGAAGTAGAGAATAAAGATGTTGATTCTCGAAGACGCTTTTGACGATGCATTGTTGGTGGCATGAAACCACAATATGGAGAAGAACTAAGGCCTTTCATCAGCACGCCACTAGCAGAGAGATCAGGAATTTCAGGAACATAAGGTAAGACACAATTGTTTCCTTTTAAACTCTCAAATACAACATCAGGTATCTCATAACTGTTAGTTTGCAGAGAATCATGATGTGCTCTATCCGCACCATTAATTCCACCACAGGACTGGCCTTGTTGACTCTCCTGCAATGCTTGCAAACACAACTCGGGAGGATAAAGTGGTAAGCCAGCCCTCTGACGCCGCTTAATTCTGGTATTCCAGTAGTTCTTTATCTCATTATCCGTACGGCCAGGTAACTAAGAAGAGCAGAAGAGGCCGTTAATCATTTCCGAAAAACAATGGGAAATTAAGAAAAATACTACAAAAATTAAGACTAATAATGGATGGACCCAAAATATAAAATTAGAAAAATTACTACTAGCTTTGAAGAAGAATTAATTGAAAGATGTCAACATGGTGCATCTACTACAAAATGCATTGTCCACAACAGCGAACTTTTATCTTGTCATAATAATTTCTTAAAATAGACACTTTAAACATTGCCATATATTATTGTTCAATCTTTTAACCCATGGTAAGTAAATATACTTTAATCTTTCAGGGACACAAAATATCTTAACATTAACACATGTTAGCTTCATCTAGCCAAAGTATCATGTCAAATTATCATTACCTTTCCTTTCTGTTACTATATTCAATCAAGAAGGAACAGTTTCCATGAACTTCATAAAACATTTTAAAGATTGGAAACAAGAGCAAACGGTAGCACCTTAAGGCACTCTTGTAATAACATATACACAAATACCACATAGACTAACCTAAAGCTAGGAAGGATGTTTGACATATGTGCAACCCTGAAAATGAAAAATCTTGTCTGATTATCAAATGCTCAAACACAGAATTAAATATGAAAGATACCACAGCCAAGTTCTCATAGCCTTCCATCTAAGAAGTTGTAGACACATAAAAGCTACAAGATTGGTTTACCCAATTGAGAAGCTATGTCACTTAGAATCTCTATGAAGCCAGGGTATTTTAATTTTGGGAGAGTTTTACTGGCTTTTGAAGTAAGGGAAAATGTTTGGAAAACTGTACTCTGTTATCATTTATGATTTTGATCTGATCTTAATTAGATAAATCATAAAAGGCACAAGTTCTTTCCCTGTGATGGTGGAAGTGCAGCAGTCAGCAAGTTATAATTTTTGTTTTTTTGTTTTTCTATTCTAGAAGCTCAACATATACAATGACAACATTGACAAGTAATTGGGAAGTTTGGGGGAAAGAATACAGGATAATTGGAGAAACTGCCCATATTTGTTGCATGTAAAAGATACATGATATTACACAAAATCAAATGTCACAGCTAAAACTTTGAAAGCAAATCCCAAATTATACCAATGAACTCTATTCTTTTTCTTCCTTTTTTATTTTTTTGTTGATGAGAAACACAAATACTTTATTTGAATAGATACAAGCATAGAATTTTTTTTAATGAAATTCTGTATTAAACACAGGATATTTTCCTCTTATAGCTAAGAGTTCCCATATTAATGTAATAAGCTCTTCCTATGTTATATGTGTGAATTTAAAATGAAGTTTGAGGCAGAATACAAAGAAACAGAATTTGGTAGAACCATATTTAGATAAAGAAAATAAACTGCGTACTTACATGTGCTGCCATGCGTGCCCATTTGTTCCCCATCTTGGCATGGAGTTCAACAATCAAATGTTCTTCTTCCGGAGTAAATGCCCCTTTCTTCAGGTTTGGCCTTAGGTGATTTGCCCATCGCAGCCGGCAGCTTTTACCACAACGGAATAGGCCTGAGTGCTTCTGAACAGCATTCCAGTTTCCCTCCCCATGCTTTTTAACATACTCCACCAATATTGCATCTTCAGCCGAGGTCCATGGCCCTTTCTTTAGAACAATTCCACCATTTCCAGTTCCTCCGTTACTCTCGTCCATCAACGGAGACTCAATCTGATCCTTGGACAGCACTCCATCTTCACTCTCATTTGTTGTCCGACTCATCTCTTAATATGTGATCAAAACCGCTAAGAAGAGCCAAGACCATGCAAAGCGTAGGTTGACAACCTGGAATAAAAAGGGAGAAGAAAACGACAAATAAACACATATAAGCAGAACCATAGCGCCAAATTTGATCCACTTGTTATACATGCACTAATAATTAATTTATGGAACAGAACAAACAGAAAACAAACTTCCAATGGTTTAGACCAAATATTGTCCCATATCATAAATACAAACGACGCAAGAGTCCAACAGCGCACAAAAAAATCCATAAACAGAAAGAAACAATAAGGAAAATCATAAAAGCAGTTGCTAGAGGGAATATGGATAAGGGGTAAAGGGGTAAAGATGACATTAAATTACTAACTTGTGCACATAGTCATTATTTAACACTAATTATGAGTAATTAAGACTAGTGAACTGCAGATCTTCAAAACCCACAAAAGGATAAGCTGTGAGTAATATTCCAAGGTCGAATTAAATCCTTTTTACCCCATTCAGAAGCAAATAAACCAAGGAAAGGGGTCAGCCTATTATTTGATACAAAAACAAACCATAAATCATTATTGAACTCGTAACCATACATAATTCACTTCGTAGATTGGAACGAAGTCTACGTATGGCAAGGTAGTCACGCCCACATTAATTACGGCATGCTTAATAAAGATTGAAACTCTCAGCTGAAGTGATTGCAATTTATACACCGAAAACTTAAATTTTGCATACCTGAATCAGAGGAAGATGGAGCAGATACAAAAATCCCAAGATTGAAGCTGCGAAATCGACCAAAACCCAAAGACACGTCCTTTTGCGCGCAATTGAAAATTTTCTAGAATGGGAAACGGGGATTGAAAATGAAATCAAAATGAGATAGCTCAAGCGTAGTGACGAAATGAGCTAAGACCTGAGAAAATTGTGATAATAGAACACCTGAAAGCGACAAAAATCCAAAAATTCAGATGAGAACTACGAAATTGAAAATCGCCCGTTCTTAATTGCAAAAAAGGGAAAAAATCAGCTCGGAAAGTGAAATTCACGAAATGAAAAGCCTAATTATTCCTGAATCGCAATTCTCGGAGCTCGATCGAGCATGCAAATGCGAATTGAACCCAATTCAATTGCTGGTTTCTAATTCATGGATCGGGAAAATGGAAACCCTAGCTCAAGAAAACGCAAGCAGAGATTGAAAATTGGCGAAACTGAAGAAAACACAAGTGGAATCGATCCTAACCGCAATTTGTTAAAGAGGAGGGAGACGATTCGAGCGTAGAGAGAGCAACACATCTGAGAGCTGAAATGGAGATCCAAACACGCGCATAGATACAGAGAGAGAGAAAGATAAAGAGCTGAAAATTTGAAAAGGAAGAAGAAGAAAAAGAAAAAAGATGAAGAGAGAGAAATGAAAAGAGGAGTGAATGTGAATACAGAAGAATTGGGGATTGAGAAGCGAAATGGCAATAGCAGAGCGATGTTAGGCTGAGATAAAGGAGGTGACTGTGGACTCTCCCTACCACCTCACTCTCTCTCTCTTTCTCAAACTCTCTCTTCCCCTTTTTCCTTTCCTTTTCTTTTTCTATTTTTCTTTCTCCCCCTATTTTTATTATATTTTATCTTTCTCAATTTTATTTATTTATTTATTAATATTGTTCTTTTTACTACACTTGTGTTTGTTTATTTCCCATCACTTCTTTGACCCCCAAAAACAAAGTCCTATTTTTATTTCCTTTCTTCTCAGATGAACTTTGACTCACATTCCTTCATTCTGTGAAGGCTCACTCTGCTCTTCCCAATCTGATACAAAATTAGGGGTAAATTGGTAATCAGGCAAAAAAGGGTAACCCATTTGAACATTGGTTGGTTTATTTTTCTTGCTTTTAGTTTTAGTATACTTTTTCCTTATATAAAAATATGCATTTTGTTTTACACAAAGAACTTGCAATGGTTAAGAGTATTCACTAATGCATGAACGGTTATATGTTCGATCTCTCTCTTCTCAATATCGTTTGTACTTTAAAATAAAAATAAAAATCTTTTCACCTATTTATTTAGTATATTATTAGTCATTAAAAGTATTTTCATTCAAAAATGTTTTGGAAACTAAGGGCTTTATAAATTAGGTAGATATTAAAGTTTAAAAATAAGGTCAGGTATTTATCTCTTTTTGGATGGGAATGTAATTTGTTTATTTTCAGAAAATAAGGATGTATTGGAAATGAAAGCTCAAAAATTCCTTCTTTTTTGTTATAAAAGAACAAATATATATATAAGTCATCTATATATATAAAGCAAAAGGCAAAGAATGGTGAAACATTCAAAATACCAGAAGATGCCCATGGTTAATGCAAACATTAAGAATTGAAATTATTAATTAAATGAGGATAATATGGTAAATTCACACATTTTCATATTTAAACAAATTAAAATTAAAAGAAAAATAAGATAATGGATCCTATTTTTATAGAACACAACTACCCATTATCTAGGCTGAGATAAAGGAGGTGACTGTGGACTCTCCCTACCACCTCACTCTCTCTCTCTTTCTCAAACTCTCTCTTCCCCTTTTTCCTTTCCTTTTCTTTTTCTATTTTTCTTTCTCCCCCTATTTTTATTATATTTTATCTTTCTCAATTTTATTTATTTATTTATTAATATTGTTCTTTTTACTACACTTGTGTTTGTTTATTTCCCATTTTTTCATATTTAAAAAAATTAAAATGAAAAGAAAAATCAGATAATGGCCTATTTTTATGGAATACAACTACCCATTATCTTTTTCAATTCTAAAATAAATTTTAATTTTTTTAAAAAAAGCCTCTCGCATGCGCGGAAGCGCGTGTGGAGAGGCTAGTATATATAAAGCAAAAGGCAAAGAATGGTAAAACATTCAAAATACCAAAAAATGCCCTTGATCAGGCAAAAAAGGGTAACCCATTTGAACATTGGTTGGTTTATTTTTCTTGCTTTTAGTTTTAGTATACTTTTTCCTTATATAAAAATATGCATTTTGTTTTACACAAAGAACTTGCAATGGTTAAGAGTATTCACTAATGCATGAACGGTTATATGTTCGATCTCTCTCTTCTCAATATCGTTTGTACTTTAAAATAAAAATAAAAATCTTTTCACCTATTTATTTAGTATATTATTAGTCATTAAAAGTATTTTCATTCAAAAATGTTTTGGAAACTAAGGGCTTTATAAATTAGGTAGATATTAAAGTTTAAAAATAAGGTCAGGTATTTATCTCTTTTTGGATGGGAATGTAATTTGTTTATTTTCAGAAAATAAGGATGTATTGGAAATGAAAGCTCAAAAATTCCTTCCTTTTTGTTATAAAAGAAAAAATATATATAATCCATATATATAAAGCAAAAGGCAAAGAATGGTAAAACATTCAAAATACCAAAAAATGCCCCTAGTTAATGCAAACATTAAGAATTGAAATTATTAATTAAATGAAGATAATATGGTAAATTCATACTTTTTCTTATTAAAAAAATTAAAATTAAAAGAAAAATTAGATAAATGATCATAGTTTTATGGAACACAACTACCCATTATCTTTTTTAATTCTAAAATAAATTTAAAATTAAATATAAAAAATAAAATAAAAAGCCTCTCACAGCGCTGAAGCGCGTGCAGAGAGAGGCTAGTAACCTATAACCTTGCTCAAGTTGACTTGATGGTGTGTTTACTAATCAGGAATTGGAATTCTCATCAGGAATTGAATTCCGCATAGGGAGGATTCCTGTGTTTACTTCACATTAAGGAATTGAAAAGTAAATGGGGGCCACACAAAATAAGGAATTGAATTCTTGATTTTGGAGGAATTCAATTCCTTGGTGGGAGGTGGTATTATAATTCCTGGAGAATGAACCCATTAGAAATTCATTTTTTTAACCCATTATATCCTCACACAATATTCAAAATTTCAAATTTATCATCTACTTTAACCCAACAACGAGGACATTTAAGTAATTAGTACCACTCATACCCCAATTTCATGTGGTTTAGTAAACAACTTCAACAAGAATATGGAATCTAACTCCCCTCAATCCATATGGTTTAGTAAACAACTTCAATAGGAATCCAGAATATAATTCTCCTCAATCAAATTCCTCCTCAATTCAATTCATCATTAATTCAATTCCCCCTAATCCAATTACGGATTAGTAAACATGCTATGAGAGTAATATTTTAAGAGATTAATTTACCCAGAAAAGAAAAAGAAGTATACTTTGCCTTCATCTATTCCAAAAGCTCTATTGGGGGTGCAGACCACGCGCGCTCCACAAGACAACTTATTTTTAGTGGTTGTACTTGTAAGTTGCAACTTGCAACTGTGCTTATTTTTTATTTTCCAAATCTTTGCATTGGCTAGATTGTTCTTTCAGCCCAATTGTTCATTGTGGCCTGAAAACAAAGAGTTTATTTTAATGGTACTTGACTAAAAGAAAAGTATTGTAATGGTGTTGACCACTAATTCACAGAACACATTGCATGTTTTCAACAATCCGAATTTATACACAAATTTGAAAACGTCATGTTTGTAATTCATTCAAAGACTCTCAAACAACTATTAGAGTCTCAGTTCATCATTAAATGGTTTGCTTTCACCGTTATAGAAGCATTTGAAATAAATGGTTTTGAGTTGTGTTAAGGGTATTTGAAAAGAAAGAGATGAGGCTCCACAAGACAACTTATTTTTAGTGGTTGTACTTGTAAGTTGCAACTTGCAACTGTGCTGATTTTTATTTTCCAAATCTTTGCATTGGCCAGATTGTTCTTTCAGCCCAATTGTTCATTGTGGCCTGAAAACAAAGAGTTTATTTTAATGGTACTTGACTACAAGAGAAGTATTGTAATGGTGTCGACCACTGATTCACGGAACACATTGCATGTCTTCAACAATCCGAATTTATACACAAATTTGAAAATGTCATGTTTGTAATTCATTCAAAGACTCTCAAACAATTATTAGAGTCTCAATTCATCATTAAATGGTTTGCTTTCTCCGTTGTAGAAGCATTTGAAATAAATGGTTTTGAGTTGTGTTAAGGGTATTTGAAAAGAGAGAGATGAGTAATAAGTGATGTGTGTGATGGGTTGCAAGAAAGAGCATGGAAGTTCACTTATGAAATTAAAGGCTTAATTGCTACAGTGCTCCCTGAAATATTTGTCAAATCCTACCTTGCATCCTGGAAGCCTTGACCAATGTTTGGTCTGTCACTTTCCCCCTTGCCGTATACTCCATCCCAAACTCTGTTAAAATTGATGACGTGGCAGGGTATATTGGTAATTTTGTCATAACTGGCCAATTTCCCAAGTGGATGTGGAATTGTGGAGCCCACATCTAGAAATAAAAATTTAAAAATAGGAAAACCCAAGCCCCTCTCTTCGTAGCTAACCCAGAAAAAAGAAGTGCTGCAAATTAACTAAGTACACCCTATTTAACTACCAAAAATACCTTTAGTACACCATAATACACTTTTTTTTTAATAGTGTTTATAAATCTTTGACTGTTCATATGAATTTATGCTTCTACTCTGTGTTTGCAACTTTTACTTCATAAATTTGTGTTTTTATCATTTGGGTTGTCACAAATTCATGATTTTTGTTTTTATTTTTCATCGATATACAACTCTTATAAGTATGAGACTATTGGGTATATCTTACAATGCGATGCTTATAATGCATTTCTCAGTACAACTTTTCTCAGAACAATTTTTCTACTGGAAGAAGCCAAAAAGGAGCAAAAAGCCATCATAATTATTATACTTATTTTCAAAAGTAACCCAATTTGCAAAAGTAACTCTCTCTCTCTCTCTCTCTTAACGTTTGTTCTTGCAAAAGCCATCATAATTATTATATTGCATCTCTTTTTTACTCTATAGGAACATTGACTCAATTGTTGTTCGAGGATGAGCGTCATGTAAACAATCTTGAGATAAACCATTTCTCCTTCGCTACACTGTAATGAGGTATCTCGCTGGGATGTAAAAACATATGCACATTTACCAAAATGCACATGGTTTCAACATATGCATTATCTTGTGATGTGCTTGGATTTTAATATTATAAAATAATATAATGTATTTTAGATTAATTATTCCACAAGCCGTGAGTGGCACACAACTACATGTCATGGCTAACCAAAGTAAGTATTCATATAAGATATGGATAAAATAAAGTGATTGTAAAGAAGGCTTTGACATTTATAGATAATGGCTGATATTAGGAGATAAGAATTCGAGGGTTGAGATGAGGATGAGAAAATATGATCAAACGGTTTAAGATCAGATGAATCTTAACATGTCGAATCTTGAATTTTGTGCAAATAAGAGATAATAGTACGGCGGATGATATTAAGTCTACTTCATTTGATCTAATGATTGGTATAAGATGAAATCTTATCTTGTCAGAATTTCAGATTTTGTGCAAATTCACCATAAGAAGCCAGCATTTCAAATTAGTTCTACTTTATGATCCATCAGCTCGTATTTACTTTATGAATCCTATTTTATCATAGTTTAAAAAAAGAAGAAGTTGATTTTGTTTTTTGTTTTTTTTAAAAA